TCCCGGGATGAGGGTGTTCCCGGGATGAGGGTGCTCCCGGGATGAGGGTGTTCCCGGGATGAGGGTGCTCCCGGGATGAGGGTGCTCCGGGAGGGATGTGGGCGCTCCACGAGGGAGCGCGGTGTTCCCAGGGCGCACGGGTGCTTGCGAGAGGGCTGGAGGGTGCCCCAAGGCAGAGGGATGGGGGTGAGGGGTTCCAGGGTATGCGAGTGCTTGCAGGGGACACATGGGTGCTTTGGGAGATATGGGGGCCCCAGGAGAGCAGGAGGGTGCAGGGTGCATGGGGACGGGGTGCCCCGTCCCACGGGCTCTGCCCGCGCCCAGTGAAGGGACCAGTCCCCGTGTCTGCACCATGGGGCGCAGCAGCAGCGCCCAGCGCGCAGGGTGCTGCGAGCACCGTGGGCTCGTCCGTGGGGGCTGCAGCCCTGCGCTGCGCCTGGCCCTGGGGTGCAGCGCCTGCACCCCACTGCAGCCCAGCCTTGGAGAGCTGCCCTGGCACCCTGCACATAGGCATTGCACCCATGCATTGCAGCTTTGGGGAGCTGCCCTGGCCCCCTGCATGTAGGCGCTGCACCCCGTACACCGCTGCTTTGGGGAGCTGCCCTGGCACCCTGCATGTAGGCGCTGCACCCCGTACATCGCAGCTTTGGGGAGCTGCCCTGGCACCCTGCACGTGGGCACTGCGCCCCATGCATTGCAGCTTTGGGGAGCTGCCCTGGCCCCCTGCACATGGGCGCTGCGCCCCATGCATTGCAGCTTTGGGGAGCTGCCCTGGCCCCCTGCATGTAGGCGCTGCACCCCGTACACCGCTGCTTTGGGGAGCTGCCCTGGCCCCCTGCACGTGGGCACTGCGCCCCATGCATTGCAGCTTTGGGGAGGTGCCCTGGCACCCCGCATGTAGGTGCTGCACCCCATGCATTGCAGCTTTGGGGAGCTGCCCTGGCCCCCTGCACGTGGGCGCTGCGCCCCATGCAGCCCTGCCCGGCTCAGGGCTGGCCCCATGTGGGGCGCGAGCAGCCCTGCGTGGGCCGCGCGCCCGGCGTCCCCCCCGCAGCGCCGCAGCGAGCCGAGGCGGAGGCTGAAGCGCTTTAGTGACGGCGGGGCGCGCGGCTCAGCCGTAGCTGTGCGGGCTGCGCGGGTTCATGGGCGACGAGTCCTGGCGGCCCGGCTGCCCCACGAGCTGCCACAGGCGGTGGCTGAGGTTCTGCACCTGGCACGTGCCCAGCACGCAGCCCACGCGCTGCAGCGACGCCGGCTGCAGCCACCCGCCCAGGTGCCGCCGGCCCCGCAGCGCCAGGGGGGCCGTGGGGTGCGGGAGCCGCGCGGGGCCGCGGGGCCGCTGCAGCCACGAGCGGTGCCGCGGCGGGACGTTTGGATCGGGCCGGGGTCGGTGCCGCGGGGCCAGGTTTGGATCAGGCCGGGACCGGTGCCGCAGGGCGCCCCGGGGATGGTGCTGCAGGCTGAACTGTGGCCGGTGCTGCAGGGTGAACTGTGGCCGGTGCCGCAGGGTGAACCGTGGCCGGTGCTGTAGGGTGCCCTGGGGTGGGTGCTGCAGGGTGAACCGTGGCGGGTGCCGCAGGGTGAACCGTGGCCGGTGCTGTAGGGTGCCCTGGGGTGGGTGCTGCAGGGTGAACCGTGGCGGGTGCCGCAGGGCGCCCTGAGGACGGTGCCGCAGGATGAACCGTGGGCCGTGCCGCAGGGTGGGCAGCGGGTGCCGGGGGCCG